TGGTGGAGGTGAAGCCCAAGTCAGCTAAGGCAAGGTGGCTGAGGAAGAAATACATAGGAGCTTGGAGGAGCCGTAAATCAGAACGGATCAAGAAGATGATTGTTGCGTTCCCCAGGAAGGCCAGCAGGTACATAGAGAAGAATAGCAGGAAGAGGAGCCCTTGAAACTCTGGCTGGGGTTGGGAAAGCCACGGAGGAATAATTCAGAGAAGTCTGTTGCATTCCCTGGACTCATTAGGCTAAAGAAGAAGAAGAAATGTTTAGGCTAATAAATTCCCCACCCTCTGCTTGCTAGCTGCCCAAACTGAACTATGCGGAAATCCCTCTTTCCTCTCCTCATATCATATTCTCCATGTCTGTTTTTGAGATACTGCCAGCACAAACATAGCAAGGGACTTTAAGACTCTGGATTAGAAGCTGAAGGGCCTTAGGGTACAGGTGGTTTTTTCATCACTGCTTCCTGTTGAAGGTTGTGGCCCAGGAAAAGAGGGGAAGATACTGGGGGTAAATCAGTGGCTGCTCAGGTGTTGTTGTCAGGAATGATTTGACTTCTTGCACCATGGTTTCTGCTTCCTTGAGGATGGACTTCTCTCATCAGGAGAGCTTTAAACTAAATCCTGAGGAGGAGGAAGACAATATTACAGACGAAAGGAAAACACCTGGTAGTGGGGTTAATGGCTTTGTTGATGCACGGGAAACTGAGGTGGTGCTACAGAAACCTGCTAAAGGGCAGGAAACTACAAGAACGAAGCAGCTGGACGGAACATCTTGTGGTTTCAGTTGTCTCTATACAAATGCACAGAGTATGGGAAAAAATGAAGACGAATCTGAACTCTTAATACAGGGTGGTGGCAGATATGACCTAATAGACACTACTGAAACCTGGTGGGATAAGACACATGATTGGAATGTAGAAATTGAGGGGTACCACCTATTCAAATGGAATGGACCAAACAGAAAGAGTGGAGGGGAGGAGTATTATATGATGTCTACACTTGTGAAGAGATCCATGACCTGGAGCATGGAAGGCAAGTTGAGAATATATGGGAGGAAATAGTAGGAGAGAGGAACAACAGTGACCTTACTGCGGGTGTCTGTTATAGACCTCCAAGCCAGAGACTTGGATGATGCAGTCAGCAGTATGCTCAAGGAGAGATATCTGCAGAAAACATCCAGCCCCTGGCATTTATTTCTTTTTGCTATGAAAGTTTTAGCAAGCTATCTCCATCATCAGATATGCCAAGAGATCACATCCACACCAATGTGGATTTAAAGCACATCTGAAAAACATAGTAAGTCTCTCTCCCCCCCCCCAAGAATTCTGAGAACCATACTTTGTTAAGGGTGCTGGGAATTGCTTCTCTGTGAGTGGCAAAATACAGTTCCCAGAATTCTTTGGGGCTAGTCATGTGCTTTAATTGTATTGGGTGAATTTAGCAGATACTGATTAGTAACCATTACATAATCCTCAATAGGTTTCTTGGATGTTAGAAGCTTTTAAGTGGATAACACATTGTTTCACCAATCTATGAGCAGTGAGAGATTCCAGAGGTACCAGGCATGCTTAACAGGGTCTGTGTTTACTTTTGGAACAATGAGGCCAAGTGGAGTCCGTGATCTCTTTATGAATTCACATCCCAAGAAGGTCCTGTTTCTTCCATTGCTGCAGCCTCAGATTCCAAGAGACTCCAAATATCATGTCTGACCTCTGCTGCAGCTTGAAACAGACTGCCTGCTTCATGCTTTGCCCCCCCCCCTCCAGCTTCAAAAAGGGACAATTCTTTCCTGTTTGCTTACCTCATTGCCCACTGCAGTTCTGCTCCCCCCTCCTGAAACTCTGTCCTTTTTTGTCTCTTACCTCACGAGGGCTTTCCCCATTTTCTGTCCAACCCAGACAGAAAATGGCCTTCTTAATGGGTGTTTCCTGGACATGGAAAAACCGCTTTAAACTCAAGCCCCCATTAGGCCTGGGAATTTAGGGGTTTCCTTACATTCTAACCCTTCACTGAATCCAGACATTTTAGAGGAGTCTTGCTCCCACCCCAAAAACATGACAATATTCACACTTACTTAAGTAAAGGCACTTCCTGTTTGCTCTCTTGCTCCTGTCAATGTGAAGAACAAAGGAAGTGGACTTGTTCTGCATAGGACGAAACTGGCCTCCTTCATCTGCTGAGATTAGCTCTGTGTTTTCTGATGCAAGGGAAGCTTTTGTTCATCTCTGCTTAAGGGTGGTGATCTCCAGGGTCCAAGGAAGACTCAACCAGGTTCCCCCTCCAGAATTAATAGAATGCAATAGCATAAACTCTGGAGAATCATCATTCAGAGACCCAACCCATCATTCAGCTTAACAAATTAGCTGGTCCTCATTAATAAGTGTTAGAAAAGTTTTTCCCTTTGAGTATGGATGTTGGAGGATTCTGGTTTGCTCCACAACTGGGAACAAGTATGAAATATACTCGGAGTTGAGTGTGAATTTCATGCTCTTTATTCAGCTCATAGTAGCAATGAATGAAACTTTCCCCAAAACGTCTAGCTATATATACAGTGGTACCTCGGGATGCGAACGGGATCCATTCCGGAGCCCTGTTCACATCCTGAATAGAACGTAAGATGCAACGGCGCGTCTGCGCGTGTGCGGGTCATGTTTTGCCGTTTCCGTGCATGCGCTTGATGTCATTTTGAGCGTCTGCGATGCGTGAGCTGCGAAACCCAGAAGTAACGCATTCCGTTACTTCCGGGTTGCCGCGGAGCACAACCCAAAAGCGCTCAACCTGAAGCATATTCAACACGAGGTAGGAATGTACGTTATTTACACAATGGGCCCCATGTGATTGGCTAATTTCGGGCTGCTCCTGTAGGCCAATCAGGTTGCTGATTTACTTCATCCAGGAGCCTGATTGGCTGCTCCTGTAGGCCAATCAGGTCGCTGATTCACCTCCACCTGGAGCTGGATTGGGTGGCTCCTGCAGACCAATCAGACTGCTGCATTCTGGATCCTATTGTTCTAGGACTCAGCTCAGTACATAACAAAGCATAATCTCTGGGCGCTGGGGGCGGTCTTTTCAAAGATCAGAACAGATGTGAGGGATAATCTACAAATTGATACCCAAAGGAGATTGACAGCACAACAGTACGCAATGGTCTAAAGGCTGCTTCCTTTTTAAACATTTTACATTGGCAAGATTTTGATTTGGAACAGGAGATAGGATGGACTGGGATGGACTGGGCCCCAGAAAGGAGATTCTCTATGTACCAGAGAGGAAGCAACTGGGATCCTGGAATTGTGTTTGAAGCAGCTACAGAAATTGTCAGCAGGGGTTCAGCTTCTGCACTACTCGGTGAGTTTTGAGGGATACAATGGAAATCGCTTCCATGACTTGCATAAAGGAAGGAGTGGGGAAATGAGAAGAAAAGACTGGGGGATATATCACCCTCCCTCTTACCCAGTGGTGTGTGGCCATTGGAATAGGGGGACTAGGCTAGTTCCCTAAACGTTTCCCTTGCGCCTCCTTCCTAAAGCCTGGGAAGCTTCTGCCTGGCTTAGGAAAAGAGATGTGATGCTCCAAAGGGTCCAAGAGCCCTCCCGCCACCTTCCCAAAGCCCACCTAGCTGTAGGAAGGAGGCAGCAGAGCTCCAGCATCCTGTTAGAAGCCTGGTGACTCATTCCCAAAGCCCGGGAAGCTTCTGCCCAGCTTAGGGAAGGAGGTACAATGCTCACGGGCCCAACATCAACACCCCCTCATCGCCTTTGCAAGCTGGTGCCTCTACGAAAAAATTAAACGCACGCCACTGCTCTTACCCCAAGTAGAATTGGAGCCACATTTTTCACCAGCTGCAGCCTCTGGACCATCTTCAAGGGCAGCCCCACATAGAGCGCATTAGAGTAGTCCAAACAGAATTGTCCATTAGATAAATTTTGTGCCCAGCTCCATTTTTTGCAAGACTTGAAATAAATATCTCCATTCTACTCTATCAAACACTTTTTCTGCATATATAAATAACAGTCCATATGGATTGCATTGCTTTCTAATTATATAATTAATATTCAGCTAATATTCAGTTATATGCCATTTTGCTGTTCATAAGAAATGCTGTGTGATCATTCTTTATAGAGTTGTCAAAAAATGTAAATCTTGCCACCAAATACATGCCCAGTGTTTAAAATATTGATAAAGTAATATGATAGGCTGTAAGACTAAGCTTAAACTGCATATATCCCTGGTGTGGCAATCTTTGCTTTGCTTCCCCCTCCCCCATGACTGTATTGAGAGATTTTAATAGATGATTAATAAAATTATCTGGAAAATTCTCATAATACTCAGCTTTAAAGTAATCTGGGCCTCAGCCAGGAGTTTTGCTGCCCCTTTGTCTTTTAATCAACTGAGTTAATTCTGCTATTGTAATTAGGTTTTAAAGAAATTTTCTTTCATCAAAAAAATATTTTAGGTAAAACATTTTCTTTACACATAATATTCATTATTTCATAATTGATATCAAAAAGTACTGCTTCGTCAAATCTGCATTAATTCCAGCACAAAATAAATGAAGTCCAGTTTTGCTATTAAAAAACTTGGATTCTTTTCTCTTGTAATTGTCATATTTAGTAATTTTATTCAGTAGGATGGTGTTCCAGTTCCTTCTCAACCACTGATTGGTTAATGACTCATAACATTTTATTGTATCATTATATGTACAATACAAATTTTCAAAAGGACACGCCTGAAAACCAACCGATGCAACATTGATCCATGATTGTCAAAGATTGACTTCTACTGTTTTTTCTTCTTATTTCTGAAATCACATGTCATGGTCTAAATCTGAAAGCACTTTTAACTTCGGATGGACTCAGAAAAAGTCACACTACTGCAGGTGTTCTAAAGGAAGGGATAGATGTCTCATGGGCTTTTGAAATTAAATTTGCTTGGACTGCCGTGCTAAAACTATTGATAATTAACCTCTTTTGGGTTGAGTTTTAAAGAAATCTGGGGATTTAAAAGCTCATCTTCCACCTTTAATCCCTAGATACTTCCTCAGAGACTGCTGAATCTCAGAATTCCTCAGGCTGTAAATGAAGGGGTTCAGCATGGGAGTCACAACTGTGTAGGCCACAGACATCACTCGGACCTTGGAGCCAGAATAGGTGGAGGACGGGCGGACATACACAGCTATAACAGTTCCAAAGAACAAAACGACTGTGGTGAGGTGAGCGCTGCAGGTGGAAAAGGCTTTTCTCTTCCCAGCAGCTGATGGGATCTTGAGAACCTTGGAGAAAATGAGGATGTAGGACAGAAGAGTGACCATGAAAGGTCCCACCATGGTCACAGTGCCCTCAGTGAGGGTCGTCATCTGGATTGCTGAGGTGTCTGAGCAGGAGAGCTTGATCAAGGGATGGAGGTCACAGAAGAAATGGGGAATCTCCCCGGAGGCACAGAAGGAAAGGAAAGACATCATCAGGGTGTAGAGCAACGAGTGGAGAAAGCCTAGGACCCAACAGCCTGTAGCCAACAAGAGGCAGTGTTTTGCGTTCATCAGCACAGCATAGCGAAGTGGGTGGCAAATGGCCACAAAGCGATCATAAGCCATGGAGGCCAGGAGAAAACTTTCAGTGTTTCCAAACCCCAGGAAGAAAAACATCTGTGTCAGGCACCCTCGATAGGAGATGTGCTTGGTATGAGTCAATAGGTTCTGCAGCATCTTAGGGACAGTGGTGGAGGAAAACCCCATATCGGCTAATGAGAGATGACTGAGGAAGAAATACATGGGGGAGCAGGAGAGCCGGACATCGCGGTAGATGAGCAGGACAATCACTGAGTTGCCCAGTAGGGTCAGCAGGTACATGAAGAGGAAGCCAGGGATGAGGAGACACTCGTATCCTGACTGGTTTGAGACAAGACCCTGCAGGATGAATCCATCGGGATACGTCATGTTGCCCTGAGGCTGAGAAAGAGTGAGGGAAACAGAACTGACGGCATGTTCCCCTTGTACACTTGATAGTAACAAGAATACAAGAGGACACTCCACAGAAGGAATGTCAAAGCAAACACATTTCCTTTCCCCATGCTTCCAATGCCAGCAGTGGTGAGGAGACAGGTGAGTTCCCCTGGTGTGTTTGCATCTCCCAACTGCAAAAGCCTGGGGACAAGAAATGTAAAATCATTTGTGTTTTCCTCTCTCAATTTTTCTGGGGATCACACCTAAATCCGGAGGTTATCACTTGGCTCTCCTAGTCCCAATTGTGGAAAAGGCACACTTGTAGGTCACACCAAAGATGGTAGTGTGCATGGGAGATCACACTCGGTATGTGCACACTAGCAGGAAATGTGGTGATGGGGCCCTTCAGTGATTCTGGGGCCCAGAATCATTGATACTAGGGCCCTTCTATAGATTCTGGGGGCCAGAAAATGTCCAGCCTTGCCCACTGCTGGTGCCGGTCACTTCTGAAGTTGTGTTGGGGGGAAACTGGTAGAAAACAGGTGGGGACAGGATGGCTAATAAACAGGTATGATGGGGTTTGTAGTGTAACAGCATCTGGAGAACCACAGGCTAGCCGCCACCCCCTGCTTTATAGCAAAGTGGGTTTGGGGGGTTACTTTTTTACCACAAATGGACCACACAGGTAAGGCAAGCAGAGGCTTTCCCACCCCCCATTTTCTCTCACCGTGCACTCCATTGCATGCAGCACTTTTTGACCCCATCCTGCATCAATTTCTGGGAGGGTTGGGACTTGGGAGTCTGCAGCAAAGGAATGTATGGGGGTGGGGGAGATCCTAAGCAACCCTGTTGAGGTCAAGCGTCAGCCTCCTTCCTATTTTAGACGTGAATGGGGAGTGGGAATATGAGAATAGCAAGAATGGCTTCCGCCATCTGTCTCAGGTAAGCGATTCAGAGCTTTCCCATATTCCAACAGAATATTAAAATACAATAGTCTGTTAAGCATTAAAAGCTTCCCTAAACAGGGCTGCCTTCAGATGTCTTCTAAAAGTCTGGTAGTTGTTGTTCTCCTCTGGTGGGAGGGCGTTCCACAGCGCGGGTGCCACCACCGAGAAGGCCCTCCGCCTGGTTCCCTGTAAATTGGCTTCTCGCAGCAGGGGAACCACCAGAAGGCCCTCGGCGCTGGACCTCAGTGTCCGGGCAGAACAATGGGGGTGGAGACGCTCCTTCAGGTATACTGGACCTGAGTAATAATATTTTACACCAGCAGTTCTATGGAGTTGTTTCTTTAGTAGCCAGCCAATTTAATGATTGCTCTGTATTGCTTTTAATGGCTTTTTAAAAGATTCCACATTGCTGAGGACTCCCCTCAGCATAGATTATAGATTCCCTCTCAGATCATTCTATGAGAGGAAGGTATATAAATATTTTAAGCAGACAAACAATTTTTCAGTTGAAGTTAATGTGTTACAAAAATCAGAATTATTAATAATTTATGTTTATGAGAATTAATTAATCATGCTTGATTTGCTTTTGTACTAATTGCTTGCTTCTAAGTATATTTTTTCTAAAGCACAGGACAGTCAGAGAGGGAATGAAATGCAGGCTATGTGTAAGCAGATAATACCATGAACAGAGCTGGCAGAACCAGCTAGCAGAACAAGGGTTTGCAACAAATTTGGCTGGCAGAGAGGAATTGGCAGTGCAGTGCAGTGCAGTGCAGTGCAGTGCAGTGCAGGATAGATAACATGGCAAATACTCCTTTGTTTAACACTGTTTCTCTGGAATGCATTTTTTATATATAAACTGTGATTTCTTTCTGTACCACGCAGACCCTTTTTCTGACCTGAGAAGTCAGCGGTCTGTCCCTTCTTTAGGTAAAGGTAAAGGGACCCCTGACCATTAGGTCCAGTCGTGGCCGACTCTGGGGTTGCGGCGCTCATCTCGCTTTATTGACCGAGGGAGCCGGCGTACAGCTTCTGGGTCATGTGGCCAGCATGACTAAGCCACTTCTGGCAAACCAGAGCAGTGCACGGAAACGCCGTTTACCTTCCCGCTGGAGCGGTACCTATTTATCTACTTGCACTTTGACATGCTTTCGAACTGCTAGGTTGGCAGGAGCAGGGACCGAGCAACGGGAGCTCACCCCATCGCCGGGATTCGAACCGCCAACCTTCTGATTGGCAAGTCCTAGGCTCTGTGGTTTAACCCACAGCGACACCCGTGTCCCTTCTTTATTCAGCTGAATAAACCTGAGTTCTGCCTCTAAGAAGTCTGATTCCCTTTCCTTGAGTGGAAAATCTGGAACACCTATCCAAGGGAAAAACAGCATAGATTTCTGCAACAAAGGATTTATAGTGTGATCCTAATCTCCCAAATATACCAGCTGGGAGAGTTTAGAGTGTGGGGTGAAATCTCCCTTGATCCGGGCCACCTTCACTTGCAGAGGAGATCTGCTGGTGGATGCAACCCCTGACATAGCTGCCTCCTTAGGTTTGTTCTGCAATGAAACATTTTGGGGAGGTTAAGATAATGGGACTCACCAGGGCAGGAGACATTGACATCGTCAAACAAGTAGTTCCATCACATCCCGATGTTGTGATCTGTGCAAAGAACAGAGATTTTGGAGAGAAAAAACTAGGTTGAGGCAAACCGTTGACAGTGGCAAGAAATGAGGATTCCTTTGCTGGCTGTAATTTTTGATACTTTAATTTATAGTGAATTGCCCTGAGACCCCTGGGTATAGGGTGGTATATAAATTCAATAATAATAATAATGGAAACCTGTTAACTTTTAAAAACTAACCATTTCAGAGGTTTCATAAGTGAGGAGTGGGGGATTCCTATAATAATGATATTCCCAACTGATAGAGGAAGCACCTCAAAGTTAATATATTCAATGTCTATTGCAAGAAGTGATCATTTTGTGGCAAGATCACCCAGTTGGTTTCCCTGTTCTAATGAATCAGTGGCTGCAGCGTGTCTTTCTCCTCCTTAGTTCTCTGGTCAGCAGACTCTTTTTACCCTCTCGAGTCCCAGGTGGATTAGAACATGACCAGAGCCCTGCTGGATCAAGCCCAAAGCTCTTTTGAGTCCAGCATCCTGTTCTTAAACATCCCATCAGATGGCTGGGGGAAGACGACAAAGAGCAGGCTGTGAATATGATTGCACTCTCCCCACCAGTAATCTCCGGCAACTGGTATCCAGAGATACATGACTGGTATTCTGAGCCAGACCATTAATCCATCTGGTTCAGTATTGTCTACACTGACTGGGTGCAGCTTTCCAGGGTTCCAAACAGGGAATTTCCCCAGTCTTACCTGGAGATGCTGGGGACTGAACCTGGGATCTTCTGCATGCAAAGGAGATGTTCCACCACTGAGCTATTGCCCTTCCCTTAGTTGTGTCAACCTGTCGCTATTTCAATAGAGTGGGAGGTTTTCTCCAGAGGCAGCAGCAGGTGCCAGCTGGGTGCATGTGAGGCTTGTTAATCAAACCACTTCTCCCCTCTAGAGAGCTGTACTTTCTTAGCTAAACTCAAGAGAGGGCCCAGACATAGCTGTCAACTTACAGATTTGAAAATAAGGGACCAGCAGCCAAAATAAGGGGTTTTGCTTATACAGAAATCCGGCAATGATGGAGCCATGCTGCTTTTGCTGCCACTGACTGTGTTCTGCAGGGGGTTGGACTAGATGATCCTAAGGGTCTACAACTCCGACCAAAGAAGAGTGGCACACAAAACTGATGAACGACGTCGAGATGGCAAAGCTTACAGGCAGAATTAGAAACCAGGAAGAGGACCTTTTTAATAAAGAATGGGGAAAGTTTATAATTTATTTGAAAAGCTATTGTAAAGAGCTTCATACACTGGTAGGATTGACAGAAAACTTGTAGTAAAAATTTGAACTATGGATGGAAAAATGATTTATAAAAATACAGTTATGAAAGGGATGCAGAGGGGGAAATCACTACATTAAGATGCTGCACAGGTTGGAGGGTATGCTAAGCAGCACGTTGGGGCTGCCGTCGTCCTGGCGCGGGGAGTTCCATCGGCCCTTCCCCACCCGAGAGAGAGGGAGGGAGGGAGGGAGACTTGCCCATGCTGCCCGTGAGCCTGGCATGAGGCGGCTTCAGTGCTGCGGCGGCCGCTGAAATGCTGCCCTTCTGCGTCCCTCCCCATCCCCTCCTCTTCCTCCTTCCTCAGGCTGCCTCCTCAGCCACCGCCGCCACTTCTGGCTTCCCCTGGCACTGTGGCGGAAGTCTCGCAAGAGAGGGGCTGTCTGCCCGCCCGCTGTCACCTGTCTCCTCACAACGTGCCCCTGAGGGGGGAAAGGGAGAGACGGAGACGCGGCGGCCAGTGCGCGCTCTCTCTCTCTCTCACTCTCTCTCGCGGCGTAGCCTCCCGAGCTGGGCTGGGCGAGCATGAAACCTGGGAAATTTAAGGGACATCATCAATCCAGGACAGCAGTGGGAAACTGTGCTGGGATAAGGGAGTTTCCCACCAAATAAGGGGCGGTTGACAGCTACGGGCCCAGATCAGAAGATTTGTAATCACCAGTGATGCAATTTTGCACGCACTGGTGGTGGGATACAAAGATGCTTTGCATGGAACCTCCTCTCTCAGGGCGGCCTCTGAGCTATTGCTGAAGGCACCCCCCCGCCCCACAATTTATTTAACTGCTCTTAATTTGAACAATCCTATCTTCATTGTTGGGACGTGGGTGGCGCTGTGGGTTAAAGCCTCAGCGCCTAGGGCTTGCCGATCGAAAGGTCGGCGGTTCGAATCCCCGCGGCGGGGTGCGCTCCCGTCGTTCGGTCCCAGCGCCTGCCAACCTAGCAGTTCGAAAGCATGCCAAAGTGCAAGTAGATAAATAGGGACCGCTTACCAGCGGGAAGGTAAACGGCGTTCCGTGTGCTGCGCTGGCTCGCCAGATGCAGCGATGTCACGCTGGCCACGTGACCCGGAAGTGTCTGCGGACAGCGCTGGCTCCCGGCCTATAGAGTGAGATGAGCGCACAACCCTAGAGTCTGGCAAGACTGGCCCGTACGGGCAGGAGTACCTTTACCTTTACCTTTTTATCTTCATTGTTGCCTTTCCTAGCCTATTCACATGCAACAAGTGCTCAAGGTTGCTGGCTTATGGGAATTTCCTGGAACATTAACGCCAGCTTTTCCTTTACTTACCATAGTTCCAAGGTGGATTTTTTAAAACCACGTTATTCAGTCCTCCCACATTGATTGACATATAGTCTGATTCAGCTCGAGTTGTCAGATCCTGTGTGTTGTAGTTGCTAGTGTTGAACGAGAAACTGGGAGAGCAGACAATAGAACACACATGGCCAAAAAACAGATAGTCAAACACAGTTACAGCCAACACAAGGGCAGTAACAGCTTGTTCCTTTCAAGCAGGTTTTCAAGCCACCTGGATCTCTTCAGGCATTGCTCCTCTTCCTTGTTGGGCACTCCCAGTCACTGTTCTGTATCCAAGATGCTGGCCCCATCCTTGGCATGCCCAAGATGAGCTTCCAACACATTTAAGCCTAGATGTAAGCCAGGGAATTCTAATCTAGGAATTAGAATGGAGCTCAGGCTTACAGCCTTACCCCCACCCCAAATTCATAACAATATATTTATTCTGAGACCATCCGGTTAATGTGAGTATTCCATAATGTTACCTGATCCAACAGGGGTCATAAGAAGTGTTCGTTGATGTTAATATGTTATAAATGACCACTGTGCTATGTCAAATTTGTATTATTTCTTCTTCTTCTTCTTCTTCTTCTTCTTCTTCTTCTTCTTCTTCTTCTTCTTCTTCTTCTTCTTCTTCTTCTTTTCCAAGACCCCTAACCACTCAGTTGTGATATGTTCTGAAAGTGCTACATACTGTATTCTAACACACCAAACCTTCACGATGAATCCTTTAGATCAGGGGTGGGCAACCTAAGGCCCAGGGGCCGGATGCAGCCCAATCACCTTCTCAATCCGGCCCATGGACGATCCGGGAATCAGCGTGTTTTTACATGAGTGGAATGTGTCCTTTTATTTAAAATGCATCTCTGGGTTATTTGTGGGGCAAAGGAATTCGTTCGTTCCTCCCCCCCCCAAAAAAATATAGTCCTGCCCACCACATGGTCGGAGGGACGGTGGACCGGCCCATGGCTGAAAAAGGTTGCTGACCCCTGCTTTAGATAGAACACCTTTTAAAACCATGTCTGAAGCACAGTGTATATGAAGTGCATGCTCTCCTTTCTTTTTGAAACGCAAACGTACTAGCCAATGTATTTATTTATTTTTAGGGTTAAAGGATTTGTGCCTTTGGCATGCATGTCTACTGCAGATGACCATCTAATTGTTTATAGCACTAGTGTGTCATATGAATGAACCAGCAAGTTGGTCAAAAACAGAATAAACTGAAGTGGTCTGAAATATAACACCCACCCACAAATTTTGCTCCTGGTGGCTTTTGTAGAGCTCTGTGTGTATCCCTTTTATGATTATTTATTTAAACATTGCCGTCCACACAGACACCACCGGGGGAGATTCTGCTTCCATGGGCTGTGATTTGAATGAAGAAGAAGAAGAAGAAGAAGAAGAAGAAGAAGAAGAAGAAGAAGAGGAGGAGGAGGAGGAGGAGGAGTTTGGATTTTATATCCCATTTTTGTCACTACCCCAAGGAGTCTCAAAGCGGCTAACAATCTCCTTTCCCTTCCTCCCCCAAAACAAACACTCTGTGAGGTGAGTGGGGCTGAGAGATTTCAAAGAAGTGTGACTGGCCCAAGGTCACCCAGCAGCTGCAGGTGGAGGAGCGGGGAAGCGAACCCGGTTCACCAGATTACGAGTCTACCACTCTTAACCACTACACCACACTGGCTCCCATGAACAGATAGATCCTGGGGATAGAAGAGATAGATTCTAGAATGAAGAGATAGATCCTGGGGAGATCCTTTAGAAGACTCACATAGAAACAGTCACTGTGCTCCGAAGCCCAAATTGAGTATTTATGAAGTGGACAAAGGGCTACTCTGATTTTCTCTCTCTTGCTTTTAACACTGGAAAGCTCCCTGGACATTGACTTCAAAGGGTGGGATCTTTGCTACTCAGGATGAATGCTTTTTAAAAAATGAGAACAGATTTATTTAGTATGTAGAGCAGACTAACACTGATGAACACCCTTGATACCTCCATATTCATCCCAATTTCTTCCCTTTCCTGATTTGATAGCTATGTAGCTTATTCTTTATATATGTCTGTTCATTATAAATGACCCAGCTGCTAGATGAGCACATTTTTTACTTGATTTCCAATTTTGCTTTATTCTTTATATATTTCTACTTTTATTTTCATATATAAATTCATTGCTAGATAAACAAAATATAATTACATTTTTCAAGTTAAAGCAGCTGGCAAGTTCCACTGTAAACATTTTTATGTTTAAATAGAGTAACTTAATTTAATCTAATTAAATTAAATTAGAGCAATACAAACTATAGTAAACTCACACTGCGGAAGCAACAAGGTTGCTCTAGAATAACCTTACACTTATTCCTAAAAAACATATGTTGGGGCAAAAAGTAAACACTACTTTCATCAATAGTCTCTGACTTTCCTTATTCAATGGAGGGAACCTCTGGACCCCTCAGTGCCGCCATGGATACCCATAGCGATTTGAAATGTTCATTTCTTTCTCCCGCTCCACAAAATATTTCACCCTCCCTATGGAAGTCCAGTGTGATGCCTCCTCCCTCTCCCTCTGAGCTTGCCGTTTCATTGCCTCTCGGATGGGCCGCTGTTCTTCGGTTATCGGCAAGGACTCCTCGAGGTCGTCTGGAGGTGTCCTCCAGGGAATAAAAGTATCCCCTCGGTATGGCGGAGAGGCTGGTGGTTGCAAGGGCTGAGCTCTTGTTACAGAGGGTCGGATGTTGCTTGGGAACCTGGAGCTTTGGCGTGGCACAGCTGGTGGGTGAGGCCGGGTGGGCAGCCTCCCAGCATTGGTGGGATGTGGTCTTAACCAGCTGGTGTGGGAAAGCTGTGACGTGGGTGGCCATCCTTCATATGTAGCTGGTGGCTTTGGCAGTGGTTTTGGCAATGGATGTTCACAATGAGTGGGCAATCTCTGGGAAGAAGAAGAAGAAGATTGCTGCCTAGGAACGGAGAAGGGTGCCAGCCTCCGCGCCAAGTGGGGGGCTGGCCTTGGCAGGGAGGGGGGCTGGGTAGGGGGCACTGGCTTATGCAGGGACTTAAGGAGAGGTACCTCCTGTGGAGCCTGTGAGTTCCCAGAACTACTGCTGGTGGCAGTTAGTGGAGGGAGATTTCTGGCCACCATGGATGTATTCTTCTTCTTCCCAAGGGGATGGAAGACTTGCACAGACTCCATCATGTGCCAAGCCAGATTGGTCCTTGGGATTGGCACCAAGGGGCGCTCTTCCAATTTGATCTTTTTCCCTTTAATGCCTGGTGTGCTCCCTTTTACTGTGGCCTTCTCTTTGGTTTCAGGTCCCATCTCATTTTTCTCCAATCCTGTCTGGCAGTGTTTGGAGTTTCCTCTATCCAGATTGTCCTCTTCGTTTTTTAAACTTCCCTCCTCTTGAAATGGAAGCTTTCTCTTTTCCTTACATTTTTTCTCCTGACTAGGATGACTTTCCTTAGAGCCCGTTATGCTTGTTCCCTCTATGCTCAGAATACACTTGGGAAACTTGGGTGAAACTTCTGCCTTTGTCGAAATGCCTTTCCTTTTCCCCTTAATCTCTGATAATGCCTTTGGCTTCATGGACTTTTCATGGGTGGGCTGGCATTTTTTAGAGCCCTCTGGGATAGGTTCCAGAGTGATTCTGGGGAGCTTGATTAACGTCTGGGACTCAGCAACACCCCACTTTCTTCTCCCTGTCATGCTGATGGGTTTGCCTTCAGTTTTCCCGTTCCCCTCGTGTTTGCCTTTGCTTTGGGTGGAGTCACATTTTGACTTCTGGGTTTTCTTCAAGGATTTGGGTCTCAGAGGATCTGGTGGAAATGGAAACCCAATATCTTTTAAGATGTAAACTGGGCGCTGGATCAGTGGATTACCCGAGGGCTTATTCAGTTTTGTATCCTGCTCATCTGTTGGAGGAAGTGATGCCTGTCCCTGTGTTGCTGAGCCCTTTCTGAGTATGGCCACCTCTGTGCCCTTGATGTTTAGATCTTTCACAAAGGAATGCGGGTGCAGGGCTTTTGGCACCTCTTTGCATGGCTCAGGGGCATCCGGGATTGACTTTGCCTCTACTCTGAAAGACCTTGTGGACACTGGTGCTGATGACTGGTGGCTCCCCAGGGCTTCCTCTGGAAGGCAGGCCTCCGCCAGCATTCCTTCACTGCCTTTGGTTGTCTCACTGGAAGCAAGAGGTGGAAAGAGGCCTTCTGGAATAAGCGGCTCCAGTGAAGCAATCAGGGTCTCTATCTCGGGATACTTGGAGAGGAGGTCCTCTGGCAGCTGGAACTCGTCTCGGAGGAGACTTTCTTCATCGGCTGGTTGGGGAGGTGGTGGCGGATGTTCCACCACTGAAAGAAAACAAATGAAAAGCACAGCACTGAGTGTCTGAAGACAAAGAATCTACTCCGGTTGGCTGAGACAAACTTGAGGAAGTCCAAGACTCCCATGACTATCTGTTAGAGCTTCTCCATATTAAATAAAGTTAAAAAGTGGCATATGGTTCTGGCTCCATGTTTATCATGTGTAGATTCTTAGCTGACCTATCAGAAGTGCTAGATTAGGCCATGACATCTAGCCCGGAAGGCACACTTGGAAAGCACATGGTCTCAGTCACCCACTTACCATTCAGCGCAGCATTGTTGGCCTGGGTTCCTTCCAGTTTTTCTTGTGCTATAGATGCACCTAGGACATCTGTCACTTGGGCACTGACTGCTCCTGTCCCCTGAAGTCCATGTGGGACTTGTACCACTGAAAGAAATTAATCAGGAGGGATCAGTGATTCTACAGCCAAGGAAGACCATTAATTAATTAATTCAGTTACTCTTTCTTCCGTCCAGAGGAAGGTAAGTGAAGGCCTTGTTCTCTGTCCTAGGGAGGCTCAGCAGCCATAGACTTTCCAACTAGATAATGCACAAAACTGTCTAAAGGTGGGCAGGCTGGCTGCCTGAAGGTGGGATCAGGGGCTAAAGTGGCCTAGTTGCACTACTGGGCTCAGTGTGTTGTCAGTGATATAAACTGGGGTCCATTTTTATATACCTCAGTGTTCAGTGATGAGGTGACAGCGGGGAAACTGAATAGTATAAGGTACCCTGAATCCAACATTGTCCCAGAGGATTATGGGTGGTAGTATATGGTGTGTGGTATGCTCACATGACATGCTGTTTTGGATTAAGAACATAAGCCTATGAGAAGAGCCCTGGCTAAAGGCCCATCGCGTCCAACATCCTGTTCTCAGATGATACAAGGAGGACCTGCGTAATACAGTGCTTTCCCCACTTGTGATTCTCAGCAACTGAGAATAGGGAAGGTAGAATATGGCTGTTGTGGCCAGTAGCCATGAATAACTTCAGCTATGAAATTGGATTGTTTTTCTAAACAAACTTGTTTCTCCACTGCGATGAGAGGTTGTCCCTTGCTATCATAATCTTGCCAGAATTGTGCACTGTACAGTATTCCAAATGTGGTTCCACCGTAGATCAGCTTTTGGATATTGTAACTTACTCTGTTCCATAAGAATATACCCAACGCTCACCCACATTGCGGATGCAGGTGGTGCCGTGGGTTAAACCACAGAACCTAGGGCTTGTCGATCAGACGGTTGGCGGTTCGAATCCCCGCGACGGGGTGAGCTCCCGTTGCTCAGTCCCAGCTCCTCCCTACCTAGCAGTTCGAAAGCACGTCAAAGTGCAAGTAGATAAATAGGTACCACTCTGGTGGGAAGGTAAACAGCATTTCCGTGCGCTGCTCTGGTTTGCCAGAAGTAGCTTAGTCATGCTGGCCACATGACCCGGAAGCTGTATGCCAGCTCCCTTGGCCAATAAAGCAAGATGAGTGCAGCAACCCCAGCAATCCGTGACTGGACCTAATGGTCAGGGGTCCCTTTACCACTCACATTGCAGGGCCATGTGGAAATGGTACTAGGAAATGGTACCTACTGAGGCTAGGTTAATTGCCTGATGGGTTAGAGGGTCCCAGACACCCATTAGAAAGCAAATGATTCCTTTACAAAGATGAGCACAAACCTTGTGAGGCTGGAAAGTACCCAGTGGCTGGGGCAGGTTCCAGGGTGGACTGAGGTTCCACCTGCTGGAGGACCAGGAGCATTTCATTGTTCGCAGCTGGTGGCATAGGGACAGCGCTACCAATCCGGACGATCGGGTTCCTCTGCTCCAGTGGGATGGGAGCTAATGTTCCATGGTGGTAGAGGCCCACCCCGTCCTGGAAGGTGGTTGGGCGAATGGGTCCAAGACCAGGAGGCTGCACCTGAACCAGCTGGAGGTGAGGTTGTCTATATAATTGATTCACAGGTCTGGCTGTTGCAAAGTCCCTGTGCTGTGTTTGCAATGGTGCATACAAAGGCACTGAGAGATGTCCAGTTGTGCCCCACCCATGGAAAGAAGGACGGAGAGCTACTGGGGTGAACAGCTGCTGCTGATCATTCGGTACACCCTGTAAGAGAGGTATTTCACCATGAAGGTATCCCTGGGTAGTGGTGCTGCCTTGGTTTGGTTGGAAGGGCAGAGCTGATCCTTGAGCCTGCAGCCAACCGCAGTTCTCACATGGTGCTGATGAGTGGGAGATGCTGTGCTGACATTCTCCCACCGTGGAGCTGGTAGTCACGGGGGTGCTCTGAGGCTGGCTGTTGCCCCCTTCGGTCCGCCTGCTGTTCGGAGCCTGATCTGCAATGCAAACAAAGTGAGCAGGAGTGTAAAGATCCCTGCAGTTTTTGATCAGCCTTCCCAAGAATGAGCCCTTCCTTAGCAAAGTGGTTTTCTTACTGTCAGGTCAGCCTCTTTACCACTTCTAATTGTTAGGTATTTTAGAGACCCCTTTCTCCAGTTCCCTCTCTACTCTTCAGTTACTGCTCTCCATCCCTCCTGCCTTTGGGCCTTAACCCCTCATGAATGTATGCTGTTCTCAGCAATGCCCACCTTGTTTGACTTTTCCCCAACTCCCTTTGCTGGAGGTTCTAAACTACTGGATCTTTGAAAAGGGTTGTGTAAAATGCTGATGAATGGCCTTCTTTTGCTGCCTTGAGGTCTTCCTGCTATTCTATTATCCCCTAGTATCTGGTTGCTTATGATCCCATTGGGGAGGAATCTTTTCCCCATCCTATCTCCCTCCCTCTCTCTTCCATGGAGAAATAGCGCCACCCTGCTGATGTTGCCATAACACATTCTGTCTTTCATGATGCTCTGCTATGTCCCCCCCTCCCCCGGGTAAACATGAGGGTGAATTTTTCCCCAGTGCTCCTCACCCATGCTCAGTGTCAATTCTAGTCAGTATCCCTTAGGGTGAACCTATGGATCTGTGATCATATGAACCTGTTTACTGCTGTCACCACAGTAACCAGCAAGATTCTAACTGGCCAGAGAATGTTATGATGCAAAAGGCAGTGCAGAGTCATGGGCAGTTGGCCTGAACTGAAGGTGCCAGGAAAACAATTATGTCTGTTAGCGGAACTGAAGAGTAACTGAAGTTATGGCCAGTTTGAGTCATAACAAGCCCTACCACACTCTCCTCCCATTGAGGGCATCCCCCCCGTGTGACCGAGTTAATCTGGATAGCTAGTGAAGTGACAGGCACCCGCTACCATAAATCTAACACCTTTTAAAGCCACCTGTTTATATAACTTGGCGAGATAAGGGTCACAACAGCAACAAAGAGCATCATTCATCTAAGGACGCCACTCCTCTCAAAGAACAATTGCTGTTTCTGGCTCTCAGATGAGAGCAGAATCAAACCAAACTTCATTTGGCTCTGGATCAGTGGATAATTTATGGATATGTACTTATTGATCTATAAAAACCCATAAAAGAAATGGAGTGGCCCTCATAGTCAACAAAAGAGTGGTGAAAGGTGTACTGGGATGCAATCTCAAAAATGATAGAATGATCTCGATATGAATCCAAGGCAGACCTTTTAACATCACAGTAATCCAAATTTATGCACCTACTGGTGCTGAAGAAACTGAAATTGACCAATTCTATGAAGACTTACAACACCTTATAGAAGTGACACCAAAGAAGGATGTTCTTCTCATTATAGGGGATTGGAATGCTATAGTAGGGAATCAAGAGATAAAAGGAACAACTGGCAAGTTTGGCCTTGGAGATCAAAACAAAGCAGGGCAAAGGCTAATAGAGTTCTGTCAAGAGAACAACTGGTCATCAGAAACATGCTTTTCCAACAACACAAGTGACGACTCTACACATGGACATCACCAGATGGGCAGCATCGAAATCAGATTGGTTATATTCTCTGCAGCCAAAGATGGAGAAGCTCTATACAGTCAGCAAAAACAAGACCTGGAGCTGACTGTGGCTCAGATCATCAGCTTCTTATAGCAAATTTCAAGCTTAAATTGAAGAAAGTAGGAAAATCCACTGGGCCGGTAAGATACAATCTAAATCAAACCCCTTATGAATACACAGTGGAAGTGAGGAACAGGTTTAAGGATTTAGATTTGGTGGACAGAGTGCCTGAAGAACTATGGATGGAGGCTCGTAACATTATACAGGAGGCAGCAATGAAAACCATCCCAATGAAAAGGAAATGCAAGAAAGCAAAGCGGCTGTCCAACGAGGCCTTACATATAGCGGGGGAGAGAAGGCAAGCAAAATGTGAGGGAGATAGTGAAAGATACAGGAAATTGAATGCAGATTTCCAAAAAATAGCAAGGAGAGACAAGAAGGCCTTCTTAAACGAGCAATGCAAAGAAATAGAGGAAAACAACAGAATGGGAAGAACCAGAGATCTGTTCAAGAAAATCGGAGAAATGAAAGGAATATTTCGTACAAAGATTACCAAAATAAAGGACAAAAGTGGTAAGGACCAAACAGAAGCAGAAGGCATCAAGAAGAGGTGGCAAGAATACACAGAGGAATTATACAAGAAAGATATGGATGGCTCGTACACCCCAGGTAGTGTGGTCGCTGACCTTGAGCCAGACATCCTGGAGAGTGAAGTCAAATGTGCCTTAGAAAGCACTGCTAATAACAAGGCCAGTGGAAGTGATGCTATTCCAGCTGAACTATTTAAAATTTTTAAAGATGATGCTGTTAAGGTGCTACACTCAATATGCCAGCAAGTTTGGAAAACTCAGCAATGGCCAGACGATTGGAGAAGATCATTTTACATCCCAATCCCAAAGAAGGGCAGTGCCAAAGAATGCTCCAACTACCGCACAATTGCACTCATTTCACACGCTAGCAAGGTTATGCTTAAAATTCTACAAGGAAGGCTCAAGCAGTATGTGGGCCGAGAACTCCCAGAAGTGCAAGCTGGATTTCGAAGAGGCAGAGGAACCAGAGACCAAATTGCAAACATGCGCTAGATTATGGAGAAAGCTAGAGAGTTCCAGAAAGACATCTACTTCTGCTTCATTGACTACGCAAAAGCCTTTGACTGTGTCGACCACAGCAAACTATGGCAAGTTCTTAAAGAAATGGGAGTGCCTCATCACCTCATCTGTCTCCTGAGAAATCTCTATGTGGGACAAGAAGCTACAGTTAGAACTGGATATGGAACAACTGATTGGTTCAAAATTGGGAAAGGAGTACGGCAAGGCTGTATATTGTTTCCCTGCTTATTTAACTTATATGCAGAATTCATCATGCAAAAGGCTGGGCTGGATGAATCCCTAGCCAGAATTAAGATTGCCAGAAGAAATATCAATAACCTCAGATATGCAGATGACACAACCTTGATGGCAGAAAGTGAGGAGGAATTAAAGAACCTTTTATTGAGGGTGAAAGAGGAGAGCGCAAAATATGGTCTGAAGCTCAACATCAAAAAAATGAAGATCATGGCCACTGGTCCCATCACCTCCTGGCAAATAGAAGGGGATGAAATGGAGGCAGTGAGAGATTTTACTTTCTTGGGCTCCATGATCACTGCAGATGGTGACAGCAGCCACGAAATTAAAAGACGCCTGCTTCTTGGGAGAAGGGCAATGACAGGCCTAGACAGCATCTTGAGAAGTAGTGACGTCACCTTGCCAACAAAGGTCCGTATAGTTAAAGCCATGGTTTTCCCAGTAGTGATGTATGGAAGTAAGAGCTGGACCATAAAGAAGGCTGATCGCAGAAGAATTGATGCTTTTGAATTATGGTGCTGGAGGAGACTCTTGAGAGTCCCATGGACTGCAAGAAGAACAAACCTCTCCATTCTTAAGGAAATCAGCCCTGAGTGCTCACTGGAAGGACAGATCTTGAAGCTGAGGCTCCAATACTTTGGCCACCTCATGAGAAGAGAAGATTCCCTGGAAAAGACCCCGATGTTGGGAAAGAGAAGGGGACGACAGAGGATGAGATGGTTGGATAGTGTTCTCGAAGCTACCAGCATGAGTCTGACCAAACTGCAGGAGGCAGCGGAAGACAGGAGTGCCTGGCGTGCTCTAGTCCATGGGGTCACGAAGAGTCGGACACGACTAAACAACAACAACAACAACACTTATTGATCTACTGCTTTTTCTCCCAATGTTCTGTGTTGTTGCTCCCTGGAAACTCTTGGCTTGTGAGCTGCTTTGGACAAAGTGCAGTGGACCTTATTCTACAAAGTGCAATGTAGGTTGACAGTGGTTCTGAAATAATTCTGTGATTTTGAAGGCGCCTCAGTCTTGATTGGCACATCTCGTGCAAGTTGTATTGAAGACTAAGTCCCATTGAAGAACACTGAATAGGACTTAGTCATGGCTTATCTAAACCCTATATGTGGTACTGGGACTCTGACTACCTGGAGTGGACTGTGGCTGGTAACTTTTGAAAGGAATCCCCCTTTCTACCTATTCTCTTGCTTCCACTTCCACGTATGTTGCCTTCTCTAAGTTGTTGAAAGATCTACACCATTCCCCTGCTATAATCCCTTAACTTCTCAGATGGCTTCTCTGTCTGCTTCATGGGACAATGAAGCAGAACATCTGAACATTTAGATGGCACCATTTCCTACCTGCCATGCCGATAGGAGCGCTCAAATAGCACGAACATAAAACGAACCAATGGAGAGCAGTGCTTGCACTTCTCATGGATCCAGTGTCCGGTAAGAAGTGGGGAACGAAATGGCGATGGTACAAAGCTGTTCATTAGTGTCTCTATGGTAACCCTGCAGAATGTGAGGAAGGGGCTAGGAGAATATTAGAATCAGAATCAGATGATGTCATCATGGAAGGTGGAAGAGCAGCCCAGAGGTGAGAAAAGGGTGATCCGTTCACACTACCTGGTTGACAATTCACAGGCTCCCTTCAAATTTTTTAACATGGCCATCTAAATTTTCCTTGGGGGTGGTATTTTTGAATGGAAGACCAATGTATTCTTATTTTTCCTTATTAAATGCTAGCTCCACATCCTGTTAAGGTCAACGCACCTGTAGCTGTGTCCCATCATGTTAAGTATAATGGTTTAATGGAGATTGAAATGGATAATGCTTGTATATATGTTGCCAAAGGTTTAACTGAGAAATTCCATTGGGCTATATGGAAGCTAAGAAGAGTTATCTGAGAACCGAGATGGGTTGATAATTAACTGTTGATGTTCTCTGCTAGTTCTCACATGGTGAGAGAGGGATTCAAGTGCAAGTGCAGGGATCTCAACTCAAGCATCCATGACAGACGGACATCCAACCTCTGCTTAAAAACCTCCAAGGAAGGAGAGTCCACCACCTTCTGAGATATTTTGCTTCACTGTCAAACAGCTCTTATCATCAGAAAGTTCTTCCTGAAGTTTAGTCGGAATCTGCTTTCCTGTAACTTGACGTCATTGGTTTGGGTCCTAGCCTCCAGAGCAGGAGAAAACAAGCTTCGTCTTCCATGTGGCAGCCTTTTAGATTATTTGAAGATGGCAAGCATATCTCCTCTCAGTCTGCTTTTTTCCAGGCTAAACATACACAATTCCCTCAACCGTTCCTCATAAGTTTGGGCAAGGAACAAGGTGTCTAGAATGAGATGTGAGACCGATTGTAATGTCAGTGGAAAATATTAATGTTCACCCCAAGGTGAAAGACAGAAACCTGTAATTCACAGGACATTTTGATGGAAAAGTGACATGACGGGCACTACAATTTATCTTCAACGCCTCCTCTTCCTGTGACATGCCATGACAGGTTATTGTTGTCACTCTTTTTCATGGAGTGGGATTGCTGTAACGGTTTTGCAAAAACAATCCCATTATGTTCTTTATTTGGGGCTGCTTCTTCCTCTAGCCTTTGGGAGTGAAAACCTTGTTGCAACAAAATAATAGTCGCTTTGCTTCTTGCCTGGCTGGTTGCAACTTCTGATTGACTGACAAGAAGGACTTGTGGGA